ATGGGGGCTCAGGGCTTACATTCGGGAAGTGGGCTGACCCGAGGGTCACCGTGGCTCTCACACCATGTTTTTGTATAGAACTGACGGTTGATTCTTTGTTCTCTTGAAATAAACAGAAGAAAATGAAACCTTTCTTTTGCTGCTCCTTGCCTTGTTTTCTCTGGTGCGTGTGGGGTCCTTGCCCCTGCCCCTTTTCCGCTTCCGATTTTGCCTTGTTGACCATCTGCAGGCGACGAGGCCTGGGAGGAGCACGAAGAGGAGAAACTGGGTCCCCCAAGACTTTCAGCTGTGCAATTCCTCATGGTGCTGCTGGGGAAGAGATTTTGGAGAGAATCTGGAAGAGTCTTCTTACCTTGGCACAGAACTTGTCTGATGGTTCTCGAAACCCCTAGGGTTACAGAGGACCTTCAAGAGCATCGGCCGGGCGTGGTGGCTCACGCTTATGGTCCCAGCACTTTGGGAGGCCGAGGCGGTTGGATCACCTGAGGCCAGGAGTTCCAGACCAGCCTGGCCAACACAGCGAAACCCCATCTCTACTAAAAATACAAAAGTTAGGCCAGGTGCGGTGGCTCACGCCTATAATCCCAGCACTTTGGGAGGCCGAGGCAGGTGGATCACCAAGTCAGGAGTTCGAGAGCAGCCTGGCCAGTATGGTGAAACCCTGTCTCTACTAAAAATACACAAAAGTAGCTGGGCATGGTGGTGCTCGCCTATAATCCCAGTTATTCAGGAGGCTGAGGCAGGAGAATCACTTGAATCTGGAAGGCGGAGGTTGCAATGAGCTGAGATCGAACCACTGCACTCCGGCCTGGGCAACAGAGACAGACTATCTCAAAACAAATAAAGAAACAAAAAACCCCCAAAATTAGTTGGGTATGGTGGTAGGTGCCTATAATCCCAGCTGCTCGGGAGGCTGAGGCAGGAGAATCACTTGAACCAGGGAGGTGGAGGTTTCGGTGAGCCGAGATCACGCCACTGCACTCCAGCCTGGGCAACAAGAGTGAAACTCTGTCTCTAAAAAAAAAAAAAAAAAGGAATGGGTCTCTAGCCTTTAAAAACCAGATTTTCACATTAAAGTCTAGAATCTAGATTTCTGGCTTCTCTTGAAAATAAATCCATCAGTCTAACAATGCTGGGTCCTCATTTCTGGGTGGCAACAGATGGCTGGATCTGAATGGATGGGACGCAGCTCTTTTCACCACAGCCCCCAGGACTTGGCTGCAGGCTTGTTACCATTTATTATTGGGCTGACGCCGTGTGGTTATTTTTGTTTGTTTGTGGAGTTGAAAGGGAAGTGAAATATTTTCCTTGTTTCTCTCCAGATTGGCTTCACACCTGGCCCATTTTCTTCACTTATGTTACCTGCCTGGCTCTTGCAGGCTTTTGGATTTTTGACCCTTGACCAAGTCAAGCTTCCTAGATGTCCTCTAAGACCTTCCTAAACTCTGTGTAACTGCCTGCAGCTTCCCTGTAGGCTGGCTCTGGAAGCTTGAGGAGGCAGGGAGCTGGCGTTTCCCGAGCACTTGATATGTGCCAGGCGCTATGTGTGACGCGGATGGACTGCTGCCATCCTCATGGTATCCCTACAGAGAGGGCACTTTGTGGACGAGGAAACAGGCTCAGAGGGGTGAGTGGTAAAGGTGGGCTTTGTACCTGGGCTTTGTGATGCCAGAGCTTGTGTGTTTAACCAATGCTGGGTGGTTTTCGTTTTTTTTTTCTCTTTTTTTTTTTTTGAGACAGAGTCTCACTCTGTCATCAGGTTGGAGTGTAGTGGCGTGATCTCGGCTCACTCAACCTCTGTCTCCTGCCCCAGCCTCCCAAGTAGCTGGGACTACAGGTGTGCACCACCACGCCTGGCTAATTTTTGTATTTTTAGTAGAGACAGGGTTTCACCATGTTGGCCAGGATGGTCTTGATCTCTTGACCTCGTGATCCGGCCGCCTCGGCCTCCCAAAGTGCTGGGATTACAGTTGTGAGCCACCGCACCTGGCCTTGTTTCTTTCTCTTAAGCCAAGGGACCTTCTGCTTAGATTTGTGCCGAAAGCCCAGTATGGAAAACACAGGAGCGGAGCTGCTCGCTTGCTGTGTCTGACTGAAGAAGGGGGTTGTATTGCTGCCTGCTCAGCCCAAGGCATCTCTTTTTTTTTTTTTTTTTTTTGAGACAGGTTGAACTCTGTTGGGCAGGCTGGAATGCTGTGGTGCGATCTTCTCTCACTGCAACCTCTGCCTCCTCAGTTAAAGTGATTCTCCTACCTCAGCCTCCAGAGTAGAGATCCTGTCTCTAAAAAAAAACTAAAAATCCGGTCCAATTTAGTTTTACAGCCAATGCAACTTGGGCCCAGAGATGGTAAGTGATACACCCAAGCTTACCCACTGGGACACCTAGCGTTCAGAGTCCTCCCATTTCTGCGTCGAAACACTTCCTGTCCCACTGCGCTGCTGCTGTTTTCTCTCTATGCTGCTGTTTTCTCTCTATGCCCAGTGAGAACACAGTTATTTCTACACATCCAGGTACAGGGCCAGCCACGTGGGAAGCCTCCAGAAAAGGACTAATGGACTCCAGCATTGATTCCTAGGTCTCACATCCTTTCGTCTGGTTTGTGAACTAGTGCTCTGCAGGCCACGATTGTCCCAGACAGGTGTGTTTTGTTTGGCCTGCACAACATTTGTGTTTATTTTGCATTTGTTGCCCACTGATTTCACTTTTTTTTTTTTTTTTGAGATGGGGTCTTGCTCTATCACCCAGGCTGGAGTGGAGTGGCACAATCCTGGCTTACTGCAACTTCCACCTCCTAGGTTCAAGTGATTCTCCTGCCTCAGCCTCCTGAGTAGCTGGGCTTATAGGCGTACGCCATCATGTCTGGCTAATTTTTGTATTTTTAGTAGAGACTGGGTTTCACCATGTTGGTTAGGCTGGTCTCAAACTCCTGACCTCGTGATCTGCCCATCTCGGCCTCCCAAAATGCTGGGATTCCAGGTGTTAGCCACTGTGCCTGGCCTGATTTCACATTTTAAAGGCCCCCACAAAATGGATGTCCAAACTGTTGTAGAAAAACTGGAGTTTCTATAGCTACCCTGTCTGGTGGGGTAGCCAGTAGTTATGTGGGACTGTTGAGCCCCTGAAACCTGAGGAGTCCAAACTGAGGTGTGCTATTGGTGTAAATACACCATGGATTTCAAAACCTTAGTACTAAAGACTGTAAAATGCCTCACTAATAATTTTTACATTGATTACATGTTGCAATGATACTTTGGATATATTGACATAATAAAATAGTAAAATTAATTGCACTTGTTTCATTTTACTTTTCTTTCCTTTTTTTGAGACGGAGCCTCACTCTGGAGTGCAGAGGTGTAATCTTAGCTCACTGCAACCTCTGCCTCCTAGGTTCAAGTGATTCTTGCGCCTTAGCCTCCCAAGTGACTGGGATTACAGGCACACCTGGCTAATTTTTGACGGGGTTTCACCATTTGGCCAGGCTGGTCTTGAACTCCTGGCCTCAAGTGATCCGCCTGCCTCCACCTCTCAAAGTACTAGGATTACAGGTGTAAGCCACTGCATCCAGCCTTGTTTTACTTTTCTCAATGTGGCCACTAGGCTATTTTAAACTCCCCTTGGGTGTCACATCAGATTTCAGGTGGACAGCACTATTCTAGAAATCCCAGGCTGGCCAGGCATGGTGGCTCATGCCTATAATCTCAACACTTTGGGAGGCCAAGGCAGGAGGGGTGCTTTAGCCCAGGAGTTCAAGACCAGCCAGGGCAACATAGCGAGATCCGATCTCTTCAAAAAAATTGAAAAATGAGCTGGGAGTGGCGGCACACAACTGTAGTCTCAGCTACTTGGGGGCTTGAGGCAGGAGGATTGCTCGATGCCAAGAGGCCAAGGCTGTAGGGAGCTATGATTGTACCACTGCACTCCAGTCTGGGCTACAGAGGGAGTTGCCATCTCAGGAAAAAAACAAAAGAGGCCCTGTTACCGAATGTGTGCAGAGTGGAGGCTGCCCCTCCTGGACATAGCCCTGTCCCCGCCACTCCCTTAGTAGGCACTTCACCCACTGGGGTTACCTGCCTGGCTCCTACAGGTAGGAACGCTTGTGGCCTGTGCATGAGTCTCCCACTCACCACCGGGTTTCTCCTAGAATAAAAACCTCTCCTCCCCGAAGATAGTCTTTGAACTATTTGAAGACAAGGATCTCCCTTGACTCTCGTTCACAGACTCAGCACCCTGGTTCACGGACTCCTCACACAGCGTGGTTTAGTCTTTGGTCACCGTGGGGAGGGAGAGGGCTTGGGCTCGGGCTTGAGGGACAGGGCTAGGTCCCATTGTTGGCCTTTCCTCTCGGTGTTTTCTCCAAAGTTGGAAGCATTTTCTCTCTCTGAACTTTTGCTTCCTCAACTGTAAGATGGGGTACCCTTGACGGGCGTGGTGGCTCATGCCTCTAATCACAGCACTTTGGGAGGCCAAGGTGGGCAGATCACCTGTGGTCGGGAGTTCAAGACCAGCCTGACCAACATAGAGAAACCCTGTCCCTACTAAAAACACAAAATTAGCCGGTCATGGTGGCAGGCACCTGTAGTTCCAGCAACTTGGGAGGCTGAGGCAGGAGAATTGCTTGAACCTGGGAGGCGGAGGTTGCTGTGAGCTGAGATTGCGCCACTGCACTCCAGCCTGGGCAACAAGAGTGAAACTGTCTCAAAAAGAAAAAAAAAAAAACGTGGAGCGCCTTGTGCCTCCCTCCCCTGGCCAGTGTGGCGACTCCAGGAGTAATGGCTTGACAGGACTTAGTGTGAAGCAGGCCTCGAAAAAGCGCTTCCCTCCTCTCTCCACCTCCAATCCATCACTATGAAGGTGGTGCCTCAGTGATGGTGCCAGGAGGTGGTATGGAAATGTGACCCAGTGCAGAGACCCCAGAGGTGAACTAGTGGGACTCTTTCCCACCCTTGTCACTCAAGGGACCAGAGCGGAACAGATATGAGAAGGACTGAAGGCTGTTTTCAGAAACCCTTCTGGAGGGAGGATTCTCTCTTTACTGATGTGGATAAGGATATTTAATTGTCAGGCATCATAGCGAGGCGGGGGCCCTTTGGAGTGGTCAGACCGGGGGACAGGGCAGAGCTGGCATAATTCAGGCTGTTGGGGCCAGCGGTGGGCGCGTTCACAGGGCTGGTGGCGGAGGGCGGGGAGAGGGTGGTTAGCACCATGCCACCCTCATCCAAGGAGCGTTTATATGGGACTGCAGCATCGTTTCGGAGGTCCTGGAAAGCCAAGTAGGCCTGGAATATCTGTGGGCAGAAAAGGACGTGCTGAAGGCCGACTTGGGCTGGGCTGGGCAGGTCAGGAGAGGGACTGGGCTGGGGACCAGCCTGGGAGGAAGAGAAGGGTCCCGGTATTTGAACTGCTCACTGCTCAGGGACCCCGGGCCGAAGCACGGGCCCTGATGCTGGGTTGTGGCTGCTCAGAAGAAGGGGCACTTGGAGGGGACCAGTGGAGTCTTGGGGGAGCCCCCCTACCCCTGACTCCCAGGGGAGCTGAGTGAGAGCAGGAATGTTCTAGCCCTTTCAACCCTGCCCTGCAGAGGATGCCCCTCCTAGGGAGGGGTGGTAGAGGGGCTTGTCCTCACCCAGGCAAGAATGGAGAAGAAGGTGAAGGCGATGGCCGCTTGGGCACTGCTGCTCCCCAGAAGGAACTCTTTGGGTGACGAATGCTGCCACTGGTTGGTCAGGAAGCAGAAACCCACGAACCAGACAATTACCCAGAGAACTGTGGCATCACAGGGAGAGAAGAGGGGCAGGGGGAAAGCTCGCTCAGGCAGGGCTGCTGAGGCATGAGAAGGATAGGGCTGGTGGTCTTGCTGCATGACCTCCCACAAGTCATTAAAAAAAAAATTTTTTTTTGGCGGGGTACGGTGGCTCACCCCTGTAATCCCAACACTTTGGGAGGCTGAGGTGGGTGGATCACTTGAGGTCGGGAGTTTGAGACCAGCCTGACCAACGTGGAGAAACCCCGTCTCTACTAAATACAAAATTAGCCTGGCATGGTGGTGGGCGCATGCCTGTAATCCCAGCTACTTGGGAGGCTGAGGCAGGAGAATCACTTGAACCTGGCAGGCAGAGGTTGCAGAGAGCCAAGATCACACCACTGCACTTCAGCCTGGGCAACAGGAGTGAAACTCTGTCTCAAAAATAAATAAGTACATAAATAAATAAATAAATAAAATAAAAAAATTTTTATTAGCTTCTATGTTGACACATCTCCCACAAGTTATTCTCCAATCCCTCAAAGCCCTCCCTAGAGTGAGCAGCTGGAGTAGAGCTTCTGTCTAATACAGGAGCCACTGGCCACATGCAGCTGTTTAAATTTCTATTCAACACAGAATTTTAGGCCGGGTGCCGTGGCTCATGCCTGTAATCCCAACATTTTGGGAGGCTGAGGCGGGCGAATCACTTGAGGCCAGGTGTTCAAGACCAGCCTGGTCAACATGGCAAAACCCTCTCTACTAAAAATACACAAATTAGCCGGGCATGGTGGCGGGCACCTGTAGTCCCAGCTACTGAGGAGGCTGAGGCAGGAGAATCGCTTGAACTCTGGAGGCAGAAGTTGCAGTGAGCCGAGATCGTGCCACTGCCCTCCCGCCTGGGCGACAGAGTGCAACTCTGCTTCACACACACAAAAAGAACATTTCCACCCTCACAGGGCATTCTCTTGTACAGCATAGATTCAATGACCCTCGAGGGGTGTCTTGGCCCTAAGTCACTGGGACTGGCCTGGTGGGGAGGAGGAGTGGTGGGGGCGAGGAGCTGAGATCAAGCTGACTGAGAGGAAGAAGGTCAGGCCCCAAAGAAAAAGGACACACATTTTGTACTTGCCGTGTGCCAGGCTCCACTGGGAGTGCCTGGTAGTGGTTACGAGGCAAGACTTTGCATTGAAGTGTGTGACCTGCCATTCAGTAGCTGGGTACCCATTACATCACCTCATCAAGCCTCAGTTTCCTCCTCCGTAAAATGGGAATATGAACAGGACTTACCTCCTGGGGTGGTTCTGAGGACTAAAGGAGAGGAGGCGCTCGGAGCCCTTCTGTCTGCGCCTGGCTCGTGGGAGGCACCCAGTAGCCGTCGGCATTACTATAGACCTCCTTTATCTCATTTCATCCTCAGAAAGCCCCTGCCAGGTAAGGGATTTCATGCCAGCTTCTACTGATGCTCAGAGAGGGGAAGAGAGCTGCACAAGCCCACAGGGCGGGGAGGCGCTGGGGCGATTTCCAACCCAGGTCTGTCTGGCTCCATGCTCTGAACCCCGCTTCCTGCCACTGGGTGGTGGCCTTTCAAGAAATATTCTGTGAATGAGGGAAGCGAATGCGAAGGAAGCACAGGGCAGAAGGGAAGCTGCTAGAATTTTCCTGAGGGTCAGAAGAGGTGACCCCCTACCCAGGTCTGAGGGAGGAGTAATAATCCCCCAGGGGGAGACAGCAGGTGCCAGGGCAGTGGGAAGCTCTGGGCCATGTGTGGTCAGATGCCTCCTGCTGGGAGGACAGTCAAGGTGAAGGCCGGCTGGGTGGTGAAGGGTTGTGCCCGGGAGGCCCTGGGGAGCCTGGAGGGCTGTGAGCAGGAGGAGGGCCGCTCTGGGTCGGGGGATCCTGGGGGCTCACCAGCCAGGACGAAGTCCAGGAGCTGGAAGGCTGTCCTAAAGCGGGTGCCGGCGATATGGGTCTCCTGGGTGTCCAGGACGAGGAAGGCCAGGCAGCTGAGGAAGGCCAGGAAGCCGGCTCCCACGGCGAAGCTGCAGGCCACGTTGTTGCTGTTGAGAATGCAGTGGAGCTGCGGAGACTCCACCTTGTTCTGATAGCCGTCAGTCAGCAGGGAGGAGAAGATGATCAGGGAGAAGACCTGTGGATTCCCCGGGCCAGAGAGGAGCTCAGCCTCTCTCCAAAGCTGCTCCTCCTTCCTCCCTGGTGCTGTGGTCTTTCCGCACACCCAGTCACTGGGCTGTCTGGGCCCATCCCTCCTTGTCATTGTCACAGTGTCAGAGCCCTCAGCTTCCTGCCCCTCGTCCCCTCTGCTCCGTTCTGGCTCAGGCCTCGTCCACTCCCCTCGGCCCTCGCCCCAGCCTCCTCAGAGCCTCCCTGCCTCCAGTCTCCTCCACCTCAGCCCACATCCCCCACGGTCCCAGTGGAGTCTTTCCACATCCTGCCCCTCCCTGCCCATACCCCCTCATGGCTCCCTAGTGCTGCAGGACTGAGTCCCACCCTGAAGCCTGGCCTTGGAGGCCCTGCAGAGTCTCTGCTCCCCTCACTCTTCCAATTTCATCTCTCCCCACTCACCCCTGCCTCCTCCACACTCTCCTTCTGCCACCAAACCCAGGTACCCGCATAAAATGCTTGGCACGGTGCCCGGGACATGGGAATTGCTGAATCAGTGTTTGCAGTCATGATTATTGTCTCTGCCTTTCAGCTCTTCCCTCCGGGGTAGTTCCGAGGACTAAATGAGAGGAGGCACTTGCAGCCCTTCCCTCTGTGACTTCTGTCTCCTTCCTCCTGGCCTCGCTAATTCCCATTCCTTCTTTTTTTTTTTTTGAGACGGAGTCTCGCTTTGTAGCCCAGGCTAGAGTGCAGTAGCACAACCTCGGCTCACTGCAACCTCTGCCTCCCGGGTCCTGGTTCAAGCAATTCTCCTACCTCAGCCTCCTGAGTAGCTGGGTTTACAGGCACACGCCGCCACGCCCAGCTAATAGAGATGGGGTTTCACCACGTTGGCCAGGCAGGTCTTGAACTGCTGACCTCGTGATCCACCCAACTCGGCCTCCCAAAGTGCTGGGATTACAGGTGTGAGCCACCGCACCTGGCTGCGCCCAATTCCTTTCTTACGTTCAAGTTGCAAACAGTCCAAGCATACAGAAAAGCTCCAAGAGAAACATAAGAAACACCTGGGGTCGGCTGCCCAAACTAACACATGTGGACATTTTGCCTTGTTTTTTGGCTTCAGGATTTTGTTTTAGACAAATACCACACTGATCTGGCAACCCTGACCCTCTGGTCTCTGCGGTGCACTGTCTGCGTCCATGCCTGTCTTCTATGTGTATTTGCTAAATAAACCATGGAAACACTCTACACACACTCACCCTGGTCATCCTTATGGCCACCCTAGGACACAGGCCCTTCTGTGTTTCAGATAATGGAACTGAGGCGCAGGGAGGATAAGGAGTTGGCTGAACCCAGTTAGCTGACCAATGGCTGGGCGAGGTGACTTATGCCTGTGATTCAGGCACTTTGGGAAGCTGAGGTGGGAGGATCGTGTCAAGCCAGGAGTTCGGGACCAGCCTGGGCATCAGAGCGACACCCAGTCTCTACAAAAATGTTAAAAACAAAAATAGCTAAGGCCAGGTGCAGCGGTTCACACCTGTAATCTCGTACTTTGGGAGGCTGAGGTGGGTGGATCACAAGGTCAGGAGTTCAAGACCAGCCTGGCCAACACAGTGAAACCCTGTCTCTACTAAAGATACAAAAAATTAGCTGGGTGTGGCAGCATGCGCCTGTAGTCCCACCTACTTGGGAGGCTGAGGTGGAAGAATCGCTTCTACCTGGGAGGCAGAGGTTTCAGTGAGCCGAGATCGTGCCTTTGCACTCCAGCCTGTGTGACAAGGTGAGACTTCGTCTCAAAAAAAAAAAAAAAAAAAAATAGCTGGATGTGGTGGTATGTACCAGTAGTTCCAGCTACTTGGGAGGCTGAGGCAGGGGGATCACTTGAGCCCAGGAGGCTGAGGCTGCAGTGAGTCATGATCGTGCCACTGCACACCAGCCGAGGTGACAGAGGAAGACTCTGTCTCAAAACAAACAAACATTAAATCTGGGCACAGCGACTCACATCTGTAATCCCAACACTTGGGAGGCCAATGTGGGAGGAATTGCTTGAGCTAAGGAGACCAGCCTGGACAACAGAGTGAGATCTAGTATCTACAAAAAAAAAAAGAAAAAAAAAATTAGCTCAGTGTGGTGGCATGCACCTGTAGTCCCAGGTACTTGTGGGGTTGGGGTAGGAAGGTCACTTGAGACCCGTAAGTCGAGGCTGCAGTGAGCCCTGATTGTGCCACTGCACTCCGGGCTGGGTGACAAGAGTGAGACCCTGTCTTAAAAAAAAAAAAGTCAGCTGGTCAGTGTGTGTCAGAGCCTGGATTTGAACCAAAGCAGCCTAGCTCCTGAGTCTGCCCGTGACCCCTTGCTCTCCTACCTCACACTGGACCAGGTGTCTTGAGGGCAGGGGCTCCTATCAACGAAATTCAGTGAACATTTGAAGCCCCAATGATTTGTCCCAGATGGTCACAATGCAGCAGGGCAGGTCCGTGCCAGACAAACACAAGCTGTTATGTAGATGGGGGTAAGGGGGGCGTTGATCTAGGAGGGCTTTCTGGATGAGGCAGTGCTTACGAGGGGTACTGAAGAATGAGAAAGGCTGAGGAATGAGAAATCCATCTGGAGGACAATAGGGAGCCACAGAGGGCTGTAAGCAGAGGACGGGCAGGGGCAGCTCTGGGTGTAGGTGTAGAAAGACCCTCTGTGTGAAGATGGGTTGGAGGGGGTGAGCTTGGAATCTGAGAGGCCAGGGGGGAAGCTGGGGCCTGGGGTTGGGGAGAGAGTCAAGGTGGAAGCCAGATTGAGGGCTGGATTTAAGGTGAGTTCTGTACTGGACCTTAAAGAACAAGGAGTTTCTCGGGCAGACAAGAGGAGGAGGGGCATTCCCAGCTGGGTGGACAGCACACGGAAAAGCCAGATGTCACAGCACTGGCAACTTCAGAGATAAGAGGGAAACTCACTGAAGGGTTTTGGTGTGAGATGAGGCTAGAAAAGTGGGTGGTAGCCAGACCCTAGGTGGCCTGGAACACCAGGACCAGGAGCCGGACCTAGGGAGCCATGGAAAGCATTCAATGTTATGAATGGGAGGATTCTGTGGGGGGACAGCCAGGGTCAGACCTTGGGACTAGAGGCACCCTCTGGGGTCATGTGACTGATGGACTGGAGGTAGGCAAGACAAGAGGCCAACACACCTGAGAGGAGGTGGGGAGGCCCAGGTGAGTAATGCTGAGGCCAGAGCCCTGGGGAATTCAGTAATATTTCGCATGTAAAACAGGACTTGGTGATTGATTGGAACTGGCAGTGTTGATGATACGGGCTGGGGTTGGGGGTGGGTAGGCCAAGGGAATCAGAGTGTTGAAAATCTTCCCTTCGGCCTGGTGTGGGGCTCATGCTTATAATTCCAGTGCTTTGGGAGTCTGAGGTGGGAGGATCACCTGAGCCTATGAGGTTGGGACTGCAGTGAGCTGTGATTTCACCACTGCACTCCAGGCTGACACCCTGTCTCAAAAAAGAAGGAAAAGAAAATCTCCCTTTCATTAGACTTGGAACTCTTTCTGGACAGGCTCTACACAGGACTCTTCTTTTTTCGAGACAGTGTGTCACTCTGTCTCACAGGCAGGCTGGAGTGCAGTGGCATGATCATGGCTCATTGCAGCCTTGATCTCTTGGGCTCAAGCGATCTTCCTACCTCGGCCTCCTGAGTAGCTGGTATTACAAGTGCAAAACACCAAGCCTCACTAATGTTTACTTTTTTGTAGAGACGGTACTGCTATGTTGCACTGGTGGGTCTCAAACTCCTGGCCTCAAGCAATCCTCCTGCTTCAGCCTCCCAAAGCATTAGAATTACAGACATGAGTCACGTTGCCTGTCCCCCCCAATCTTTTTTTTTTTTTTTGAGATGGAGTTTTGCTCTTGTTGCCCAGGTTGCAGTGCAATGGCATGATCTCGGCTCACCACAACCTCCGCTTCCTGGATTCAAGCAATTCTCCTGCCTCAGCCTCCTGAGTAGCTGGGATTACAGCCATGTGCTACCATGCCCTGCTAATTTTTTGTATTTTTAGTAGAGATGGGGTTTCTCCATGTTGGTAAGGCTGGTCTTGAACTCCTGACCTCAGGTGATCCGCTCCCTTTGGCCTCCCAAAGTGCTGGGGTTACAGGCATGAGCCACTGCACCCAGCAGCCCGGCCCCTTCTCTCTGTCCCCAGCACCCAGCACTAGACTGGACTTCAGCAAATGTATGTTCAGAGTGAATGACTTTGGCTTCGTCTTGGCTCTTGCCCTGCCCTTCAGATGGAGGAGGCAAAGAACTGACCCCTAAACTCCTCAGCTTCCGTCCATCCTCCCTTCTCCTTTGCCTTAATTGCCTTCTGTGAACAACAACAACAGCAACACCCTGACTCCCTGTTTGTGCCTCGCCCTTCGGCAATAACCAAGGGTATTCACATCCATCATCTCACTGGATCTGCACAGCGACCCTGGGAGGGAGGCTGTAAGATGATTCTCCCTATTTTGGAAGGAGTGAGTCTATAGACGGGGAGTGTCTTGCCCTGCTGGTCTGAGGCAGAGCCAGGTGGAGGACGGGAAAGCACATCGATCATTTTTGAGCCCATATTCATGTTACCTGCATTACCTCCCTGGAACCTCACACCAGCCCCACGTGGGAGAGGTTATTAATTCATTTCTGTTTCACAGGTGATAAATCGAAGCCATTATGGTGGCGTGGAAAGAGCCAGACGTGTCTGACTGTGCCAGCTGTATGGCCTTGGGCAAATCACTTATCTCTTGGAGCCTCAGTTTCCCAGCCTGTTTCTATGTGATGAAAAGGAGGAATGTAGGGGTAGGGGCCTGGCTCTAGTAGGTCCTCAGGAAAATGGTCATTCTTGTGATTTGCTCAGAGAGGGGAAGCATCCTCTCAAGGTCAGTAAGCGGTGGAAGGGGGATTGGAATCCAGCCCTCCTGACATCTAGGCAGGGGGCTGGCTGTCCACCGACCTCCAAAACACTGGGCTGTGGCATGAGCCTGGGGCACTGGAGATTTGAGGAGCAGGGGCTCATATGGGCTGGAGGGACCCTCTCCCTCTGAAGCCTCAGTCCAAACTCCTTCCATGCCCTCCCTGGCCTGTCCCCAGGGAGGGAGCAAAGATTAATCAGTTAAGGCACCAGCTGGCAGGCAGCAGCAAGGACAAGAGCACCAGCTGCCCAGAGACTCCCTACTGAGGAGCCAGGCCAGGGGGGAAGGAGAAGAGGGCGGGAGGGCGGATGGAGGCAGCGGGCAAAGTCCGTGACCAGAACGTCTGGCATGGTCGGCGGCTCTTCCTTCCCTTTCCCCGCACCAGTCCACACCAGCTGAGCTTCCTTCTCCCTTGCCACCCGCCCTGCCTTCTGAGGCTTTCCAGACGGGTGGGTGGATCAAAGTTGGACTTGCTCACCAGTTGGGTGATGTCCTTGGCCAAGTCACTCAACCTCTGTGAGCCTCAGTTTCCCGATTGGGTTAAACAGGGATCAGAATGCCTGTGTCACAGGGTTGTGATGAGGAGCAGAGGAGCTAACACTGGGGAAGGATCCAGTGCTGGGATGTGGTTTGCAAGATTCCCCTCTTTCCCAGGGGGAGGACAACGAACACAAGTCCCGATCATCCTAGGCCCTCTTCTCACTCACAAGTAATGATTTGTTTTGATAATAATCCCTATTTAAGGCCAGGCACGGTGGCTCACACCTGTAATTCTAGGGCTTTGGAAGGCCAAGGTGGGTGGATCATTTGAGGTCAGGAGTTCAAGACCAGAATGGCCAGCATGGCGAAACCCCATGTCTACTAAAAACACAAAAATTAGTCGGGTGTGGTGGCGCATGCTGGTAATGCCAGCTACTTGGGAGGCATGATATTTGCTTGAACCTGAGAGGTGGAGGTTGCAGCGAGCTGAGATTTCACCACTGCACTCCAACCTGGGTGACAGAGCAAGACTCTGTCTCAAAAAAAAAAGAAAAAATAAATAAATAAATAAAAATAAAAAAATAAAAAATAGGCTAGGTGCAGTGGCTTACACCCGTAATCCCAGTACTTTGGGAGGTTGAGGTGGGCTAATCACAAGGTCAGGAGTTTGAGACCAGCCTGACGAACATGGTGAAACCCCCGTCTCTACTAAAAATACAAAAATTAGCCAAGTGTGGTGTCATGTGCCTGTAATCCCAGCTACTCAGGAGGCTGAAGCAGGAGAATCACTTGAACCCAGGAGGCGGAGGTTGCAGTGAGCCGAGATGGCACCTCTGCACTCCAACCTGGGTGACAGAGTGAGACTCAGTCTCAAAAAAAAAAAAAAAAGTCACTAAGGAAAGATTACTTGCCCTGCCTATGCAAATCAGTTTACAGGCATTAATTTGTTTCATTTTCACAACCGTCCTTTCTAGGAGTAGGGTATTAGGATATTCTTTTCACAGATGAGAGAATGGAGACATTCAGAGAAATCAAGTAACTTGCTCAAGGTCACACAGACATAGGGTGACCATGTCACCTATGCAGGCCATCAAACAAAAGGGGCACTTTTGAGAATGAAAGGTGCGTGGCCGGGCGCGCTGGCTCACGCCTGTAATCCTAGCACTTTGGGAGGCCGGGGTGGGTGGATCACCTGAGGTCAGGAGTTCAAGACCAGCCTGGCCATAATGGTGAAACACCATCTTTAAAAAAAAAAAAAAAAAAAAAAAAAGAGAGAGAACGAAAGGTGCTGCTACTGGTAATTACGCCAGGCCTGGCCGAGGTATAAGCTGGGCAGTATGCCACTTTGCATGGACAGCACTTGGCTGAGCCAGGATTCCAGGCCTGTTTGTTCATTCTCCAACCTGAGGCTCTAGAAGGAGCCGAGAGGAGATACTCTGGATTAGGACTCTGGGAGTGGAGACCCTGGGTTTCAGCCGGGGAACCCCACCTACTCCCAAGACCTCTATCAAGTCTCATCATCTCCCTGGGCCTCAGTTTCCAGTTCTGTTAAAGGAGAGCAATGGAAGGAGCACAGGTGAAAGCTCAGAGCCACAGCCCCAACCCTTCATGTACTGAAGTCCAGAGACGAGCAGTGATTGGCTCAAGATCACACAGCAAAGTCTCGGCTGAATGAGGATTTGACTCCAGGTGTCCAGATTCTTTGGGAATGTGGTGATGATGAAATGAACACTGGCTTGGTGCCCCAGCACACAGTGACCACCCCACATCTGCTACTTCAGGTCTGCATTCCGCATTCTCTTCCTAGAGGCCCCAGCCCCTGTTCCTCTCCTCCTCCTCCCTCAACCGGAAAGTGGAAAATGAACGGGCTCTTGTATCTCACAGATCTGAGTTTGAATCCTGCCCCTCCCTGCCTTTTACTGCATGACCTTAGCCAATGCTATCTCATAGAAATGAAAATGTTCCATATCTACACTAATTTTTTTTTTTTTTTTTTTTGAGATGGAGTCTCACTGTGTCACCAAGGCTGGAGTGCAACCTCCGACACCTGGGCCCAAGCCATTCTCGAGCCTCAGCCCCCTAAGTGGGGGCTGGGACTACTGGCTTGCGCCACCATGCCTGGCTAATTTTTTTTTTGAGACGGCGTCTCCCTCTGTCGCCCAGGCTGGAGAGCAGCAGTTCAATCTCGGCTCACTGCAACCTCTGCCTCCCGGGTTCAAGTTATTCTCCTGCCTCAGCCTCCTGAGTAGCTGGGATTACAGGCACCTGCCATCATGCCCGGCTAATTTTTATATTTTTAGTAGAGACGGTGTTTCACCATGTTGGTTAGGCTGGTCTCGAACTCCTGACCTCGTGATCTGCCCGCCTCGGCCTCCCAAGTGCTGGGATTACAGGTGTGAACTACCACACCTTGCCTATACTGTCTAATTTGAGAGTCCCCAGCTACATGTGGCTGTTGAGCATGTAAAATGTAGCCACTGTGACTGAAGAATGGACTCTTTTTTTAGAGACAGAGTTTCGCTCTTGTTGCCCATGCTGGAGTGCAATGGCACAATATCTTGGCTCATAACAACCTCTGCCTACTAGGTTCAAGTGAAACTCCCGCCTCAGTCTCCCAAGTAGCTGGGACTAAGGCTCATGTCACCACGCTTGGCTAGTTTTGTGATTTTAGTAGAGATGGCGTTTCTCCATGTTGGTCAGGCTGGTCTTAAACTCCCGACCTCAGGTGATCCAGCCACCTCGGCCTCCCAAAGTGCTGGGATTACAGGCGTGAGCCACCGCATGTGGCCTGGACTCTTATTTTTAATTAGTGCAAAGGGAGGTAGCAACATGTGGCTGTGGCTACCCCACTGGACAGCCCAGATTTTAAAAATTTACTTAGGCTGGGTGCAGAGGCTGACACCTGTAATCTCAGCATTTTGAGAAGCCAAGGAGGGCAGATCACTTGACGTCAGGAGTTCGAGACCAGCCTGGGCAACATGGCAAAACCCTATCTTTTTTTTTTTTTTTTTTTTGAGACGGAGTTTCGCTCTTGTTACCCAGGCTGGAGTGCAATGGCGCGATCTCGGCTCACCGCAACCTCCGTCTCCTGGGTTCAAGCAATTCTCCTGCCTCAGCCTCCCGAGTAGCTGGGACTACAGGCGTGCGCCACCATGCCCAGCTAATTTTTGTATTTTTAGTAGAGACGGGGTTTCACCATGTTGACCAGGATGGTCTTGATCTCTTGACCTCGTGATCCACCCGCCTCGGCCTCCCAAAGTGCTGGGATTACAGGCGTGAGCCACCGCGCCCGGCGGATTCTTTTTAATCCTTTAATCTCAGCTACTCTTGAGGCTGAGGCAGGAGAATCGCTTGAACCCAGGAGGTGGATGTTGCAGTGAGATAAGATCAAGCCACTGCACTCTGGGTGACATAGTGAAACTGTTTATTTCTTTTTCTTTCTTCTTTTTTTTTTTTTTTTTTTTTGAGATGGAGTCTGGCTCTGTTGCCCAGCATGGAGTACAGGGGTATGATCTCCGCTCACTGAAACCTCTGCCACCCAGGCTCAAGGGATTCTCCTGCCTTAGCCTCCTCGGTAGCTAGGATTACAGGTGTGCGCCACAATGCCTGGCTAATTAAGACTGTTTTGAAAAAAAAATTAACTTTTCTGAGCCGAAGTTTTCTTATCTCAGAGATGGGACTCACAGCACCTACTCTGAGGCCTGTTCCTTACTATGAGAGTCCATAAGTGCCTCTGTAGCACTGGGTCCATAGTGGGGTGCTCGGGTAAAGGTGGTGTCAGTATTTGGTCCCTGCTGCTTTGTTTCCTCGTCTGACCCCTTCCTTGCCCCCCTCCTCCCACACTGTGTCTGGGAGTTGAGAGCTCCTGGTTCCTGTCACCCAGGGGCACAGGCTGGCCAGGATAGGGTCTCACCCCTTCGAAGACCCGAGTGATGGTCTTGGGCCTCTTCAGAAACTGCACGGCTTTGCTGTTGGCCAGGTCCTGGAGGCTTTCTGGGATGTGCATGGCAGCTGCTCTCCTTTGGGGGCACTGGGAGGTGGGAGCCGGGGTGCTGGGCACTGTCTGCTAGACGCTGCTGTCTGGGGCTCCAGGCCGGCCCTGGGCTCGACTGCTGCGGGATGACACAGATGGAGGATGCCAGTCAGGGGCGCAGGTGGAGGGGCTGTCGGGGGTCTCAGGATTGGGGACATGGGGTAGGGATGTAGGGGGGAGTCCCCAGAATGGAATTGTGTGAGGTGAGGGGGCTGTTGGGCCTCTTCGGAGTCAGAGTGTGGGATGAAGAGGCTGCCAGGGGCCCCAGAAGTGGGGGACATAGGATGGGGGTGCAGGTGGGTTGCAGGGAATGGGGTTGTGTCTTGAGGGGGCTTCTGGGTGCCCCAGGAGTGGGGGGCATAGGATAGGGGTACAGGTGGGGGGTCCCAGGAATGGGTTGTGTGGGGTGGGAGGTTGCTGGGGGTTGGAGAGGTGGTGGTGCAGTGTGAGAGTTGCTGATGGTACCCTGAGTTGAGGTGTGGGTTAAGGGGTCTATGGATGATTCCACAGGTGAGGGCTGGGGTGAGGGGGATTCTGGGGGTTCCAGGAGTGGGGGACTAAGTGAAGGGACTGCTTCATGTTCCAGAAATCAGGAATGTGGGCTGAGAGAATTGTGGCGTTAGAGGGCTGCCAGGGGTCCCAGAGGTGGAGTGCAGGGGAGGGCTGGCATATTTGGGGACTACATCCTGTGACCCAGGAGCAGAAGGGGTCAAAGAAGGAAGGGGTCCCTCTGTGAGAGGACGCAGGTGGGATTTTCTGGGGCCTATGGGGTACCGCCATTGAGGTCAGAGCCCCTGAGAGGTCTGAACCCGAAGAATCCCTTTTAGGTTTAGGGGTGACAGGACCCATCATGGAGAACCCAGGTATCAGGGCATATTTCAGCCTTTCCCTGTTATTTGGGGCTGTTTCCCAGAATAGGGGCCTCCCTTTCGAATTCAGCTCCATTTTAATGAAAGTGCACTTCCTTTAGCTGGGAGTCGGGACCTCGTTTTTGCAGGGAACCTTAGAATGAGGCCAGGCCTAGGCACTGGGCTACCTTCTTAGTATCGCAGTCTCCTCTTTAACGACCTGGAATAGGAGTGCTGGGGTTTCGGGGTGACGCCGCCTGACAAAGGGCCGCCCCTTCTCTGGAGGGCCAATCTGCGTCATCTGGGGGCCCAGCCTTCCTTCCGCCTCCTCACCCCTCCTGGTCCCTGGAGCCACCTCAGCCTTCTTTTGGTTCCGCTTTTTCCCGCCTTTTCGCTCCTCCACAGCTGATTGGCTGCTCCCAACTCCCGCCCCCTCCCTCTTTCCGCCTACTCAGGAGCTGACACGAGCGGGGGCGTGGCCTCGGCGGACGTTGGGCTGCGCGCCGTTGGCTGACTGCGCGCGGGAGCCCTGTCCCGCCCCACTCCTTCGGGGAGCCTCGCGCCCACTCCGCCCCTTCCCTTTGAAGCAAGCGGACAAGGAGACACTCCTGCGGCGCATGCGTCGAGCCCAAACGAGGCCTGTGGTAGAAAAAGAGAGGCAGCTGGTGCATGCGTGGTTGAAATAGCGAGTCGGCGGGGAGAATGGACAGCGCGCATTGATCTAGGCTCTGCGCATGCGTTTTACTGCTGGCTGAAGCTGAACCTCGGGAGCCCAAGACACTCTTCTGCACATGCGCAGGAGACTCAATGACAGTCAAGCTTTGGCTAAGGTGAGGGAGAGAGCAGGGGATTGCATGGCCAGGGAGGGTGACCCTGCACCCCCTAGGTAACCTTCCGGAGCATTTCCTGTTCTCTTAAGATCTACCTTGCTGTCTAGACCCCGAAGAAACGCTGTGCCACTACAAGGTCTCTGGGCCTGCAAAACGCCCCAGAACCTAAGACCTCTGACCCCTGGGACCCAGGCCAACTGAGCAGTGTGGGAAGGGGACGGGCAAGAGGGGCTTCGAGGCGAGCGGATGAGCTCTGCACCCTGCCTGGGGAAGGGACGGCTTCTGGAGGGTGGGACGTGGAGGTGGAAAGGGCGCTTTTCCTCTAGATGGCCTTTGACCCCTGCCCATTTCCCTCTGTTTAGGCTCCGGGGAAAGGGTCTAGCCATGTTGCATGTGACCCGGGGGGTCTGGGGGTCTAGGGTCCGAGTATGGCCACTGTTGCCCGCGGTCCTCGGGCCCCCCCCGGACCCTTTCATCGCTGGCGGCCAAGATGGGGGAGTATCGCAAGATGTGGAACCCCACGGAGCCCCGCGACTGGGCCCAGCAGTACCGCGAGCGCTTCATTCCCTTCTCCAAGGAGCAGCTGCTCCGCCTCCTAATACAGGTACCGCCCGATCCGGGTCCAAGAGCCTGGGGACTACGACTCCCAGCAGGCCTCGCGGCGGCAGGGCCTTAATTGCTGCAGAGAGCTGCCCTGGGGCCTCCTGGGAGTTGAAGTTCCTGGTTCCCTTCGTGGTCCCTAGTGGGCGGGAGTTGATGAGCTGGAATGGTGGAGCCAGGCCTCCGAGATGCAGATGCAACATCCATTCCTACTCTGGCTTGTTCTGAGGACTTAAACAGGCACCCTCTGGGGCATGCTTTTTCCCTCTGTAAGATGGGTATAGTAATCATCCTCATGATTACTATTTCTGCTGCCTGATAATAATTGTACCTATGAAGTCACAACGCTATAATCATACTTGTTATCACACGATTTGAGCTCTGACTCTACAGCACTGTGCCAGGCATTTTTCATGTATTGTTGAATCATCAGTAACAGAGATACCACCATCATCCCCATTTTCAGATGAGATAATGGAAGCTGATGGAAGGAAAGTAATTTACCCAAGGCCACAAGCATAGTGGCTTAGATTTGAACCAAAGTGGTCTGACTCTAGAGCTCGCCCAGGACTAGGCCAGCTCTAGAGTCAGACTAGGCAAGTGAGGCATTTGCTTGACCCTGAGAGTGAGTGCCCCATTAAATTTTGCACCCTAGGGTGCCACATTCACCTCATCCTAGTCCTGGCCTCACTCACTCCAGAACCTGAGCTCTTACCACCACCATCGTCATCATACCTGTCATTATTGAGGATTGTCATCCATTCATTTATTTTTATTTTATTTATTTACTTATTTGAGATGTCTCGCACTGTCGCCAGGCTGGAGTGTAGTGACGTGATCTCTGCTCACTGCAACCCCCACCTCTCAGGTTCAAGCGATTCTCCTGCTTCAGCCTCCTGAGTAGCTGGGACTACAGGTGCACACCACCATGCCCAGCTAATTTTTGTATTTTTAGTAGAGATGGGGTTTCACCATATTGGCCAGGATGGTCTCGATCTCTTGACCTCATGATCTTGACCTCATGATTGACCTCATCACCTTGGCCTCCCAAAGTGCTAGGATTAGAAGTGTGAGCCACCATGCTCAGCCTTATTTATTTATTTTTTTGAGACAGTGTATCACTCTTGCCCAGATTGGAGTGCAGTGGCGCAAACTCAGCTCACTGTAACCTTTGCCTCCTAGACTCAAGTAATTCTCCTGTCTCAGCTCCCTGAGTAGCTGGGATTACAGGTGCCCACCACCACGCCTGGCTAATTTTTGTATTTTTAGTAGAGATAGAGTTTCACCATGTTGTCCAGGTTGGTCTTAAACTCCTGGCCTTAAGTGATCTGCCCACCTCGGCTTCCCAAAATGCTGGGATTACAGGTGTGAGCCACCACACCCAACCATCATTCATTCATTTAACATGTATTTATTGAACACCTACTGTGTATACTCAATTCTAGACTTGATACACAAGAAAATATGCACACACAAGGATTTGCAAGCAAATACACACGCAAATACATGCTTACACAAATACACCAAGATGTGTACGCCAATACACAAATATACACATACAAATGCACATGCGCAAATATACAAATACAAATAAATACGCACACATACGTACACAAACACATGCACACACAAATATATACACACAAAAATACACAAATATACACACACATAAATACACAAATATATGCACACATGTGTAAACACGTGTTTATAGAACACCTGTAATCTCATCAAATTCTCACTGTAGCCCTCTGAGACAGAGGGTGTAATCCTCTGTTGCCAGTGAGGAAACTGAGGCTCAGAGAAGTGAAGACAATTACCCAGGACAGTGAGATAGGAAACATAAAGAAGTGGTTCAAGGTGGGGTACGGTGGCTGACGCTTGTAATCTAAGCACTTTGGGAGGCTGAGGCAGGTGGATCACCTGAGGTCAGGAGTTCAAGACCAGCCTGGCCAACATGGTGAAACCCCAACCCTACTAAAACTACAAAAAAATTAGCTGGGCATGGTGGCGTATACCTGTAGTCTCGGCTACTCAGAAGGCTGAGGCAGGAGAATCTCTTAAACCTGGGAGGCAGAGGTTGCAATGAACCGAGATCATGCTACTGCACTCCAGCCTGGGTGACAGAGCAAGATTCCATCTCAAAAAAAAAAAAAGCACAAAAATTAACCAGGTATGGTGGTGGATGCCTGTAATCCCAGCTACTCGGGAGGCCAAAGCAGCAGAATTGCTGGAACTCAGGAGGTGGAGGTTGCAGTAAGCTGAGATCGTGCCACTGCACTCTAGCCTCAGCAACAGAGTGAGACTGCATCTCAAAAAAAACAAAAAGAAGTGGTTTAATGTGTGTTCTGGAGGCAGGCCTAGATTACAGTCACCTCCCACAGACACTGCAGTCCTTAGCAAGCGACTTTCCAGAGCCTCAGTTTCTCCCTCTGAAAAATAGGGGTTATAATTCCATCAACCTGTGGGGTATGGTGGCCCAGCCTCCCAGCGCTTTGGGAGGCTAAGGCTGGAGGATTTCCATACCAGCCTGGGTAATATAGTGAGATCCCCACATCTACCAAAAATTGTAAAAAAATTAGCCAGGCATGGTGGTGGGCACCTGTAGTACCAGCTACTCAGGAGCCTGAGGTGGGAGGATCACTTGATCCCAGGAGGTTGAAGATGCAGTGAGCTGAAATCATGCTACTGAGCTCCCGCCTGGGTGACAGAATGAGACCCTGTCTCAATATAATAATAATTCCATCTTCTTCTAGAGGATCATATTATACTGTCAGACAGTTCCTGGCATTGTGTGAGTTTTGGCTAGGAAGTGTCAAAGGCAAAACTTGAACCTCCAGCTTTTTAAACCCGATATAGTTTTTCAGTATATTGGGCTGCCTCAGTTTGAGTAAAATTGATTAGCCCCCTCCCAACCAAAACAAAACTTTTTTTTCTTTTTTTTTGAGATAGAATCTCGCTGTTGCCTACTCTGGAGTGCAGTGGTGCAATCTTGGCTCACTGCAACCTCTGCCTCCTTGATTCAAGCGATTCTCCAGCTTCCACCTCCTGAGTAGCTGGGATTACAGGTGCATACCACCACGCCAGGCTAATTTTTGTATTTTTAATGGAGAAGGGATTTCACCGTGTTGACCAGGCTGATCTCGAACTCGTGACCTCAAGTGATCCACCCGCCTCGGCCTCCCAAAGTGCTGGGATTACAGGCATGAGCCACCATGCCCGGCCCCAGAACAAAACTTAAAAGTCCAGAGCCCTGATTGTATAGACAGGCTGCCTGGGGAAAGAATTCGTCCCCTCGGGGAAGGGGAAAAGGCCTACAGAGAAGTTTTGCTTCCTGAGGTAACAGGAATTCCACTCAAGTCCAGCAGAGAAGGCGGCTTTGGAGGCGTTCTCGGCCCACGTGGACTTCTGCACCCTGTTCCACTACCACCAAATCCTGGCCCGGCTGCAGGTGAGGACGGGGCCCCTCCAGCCCTGTGGTACTTATTCACTTACCTGCTCATTCAGCAAATTTCCCTGACACCTTCTTGGAGTCTGACCCTTATTCTAAGTGCTGAGGATTCAGCAGTGAACAGGACAGATGAAGTGACACTCTCATGTAGCCAAGGAATTAAATAAATATAAAATATGGCCAGGCGCGGTGGCTCACTCCTGTAATCCCAGTACTTTGGGAGGCCAAGGCGAGTAGATCACCTGAGGTCAGGAGTTTGAGACCAGCCTGACCAACATGGAGAAATCCCGTCTCTACTAAAAATACAAAATTAACTGGGCGTAGTGGCACACACCCATAGTCCCAGCTACTCAGGAGGCTGAGGCTGGAGAATCGTTTGAACCTGGGAGGTGGAAGTTGCAGTGAGCTGAGATCGCACTATTGCATTCCAGTCTGGGCAACAAGATCAAAACTCCGTCTCAAAAAATATATATACATACATATGATGCCTGGTGGTGATAAATGCCATGAACAATGAAGCGGAGAAGTGAGATAGAGAGGGATGAGATGGGGCCTGTTTCAGACAGGGTGGGCGGGGAAGGGCTCCGGAGGAGGGGACGAGTGGACTAAAGGCTTAGTGAAGAAGGGGACCCAGCCTGATGGATGCCTGGAGAGGGAAGATGTTCCCAGCAGACGGAAGAGCAAAGGCCCTGAGGTGAGCGGGGGCCTGGAGTGTTGAACAGTGAGGAGGCCACTGTGGCTGCAGGAGAGTGAAGGAGCAGGGAGGGTGGGATATGAGGGCAGAGGAGATGGGGACAGATTGTACTGGGCCTTCTGGGCCACCGTGAGGACCTTGCTTTTTTTTTTTCTTTTTTTTACAGCTCCAAAAAAGTCATCAATTCTGAGCTTGCTTGCTTTTGTTTTGTTTTGTTTTTGAGATGGAGTTTTGTTCTGTCGCCAAGGCTGCAGTGCAGTGGTGCGATCTCGGCTCACTGCAGCCTCCGTCTCCCAGGCTCAAGTGAGTCTCCTCCTTCAGCCTCCTGAGTAGCTGGGACTACAGGTGTCCGCCACTTCGCCCTGCTAATTTTCATGGTTTTTTTTAGAGATGCGGTTTCACCGTGTTGGCCAGGCTGGTCTTGAATTCCTGACCTCAAGTGATCCACCCGCCTCGGCCTCCCAAAGTGCTGGGATTGCAGGCCTGAGCCACCGTGCCCGGCCCAGTACCTTGCTTTGACCCTGAGTGAGCCAGGAGCCATGGGGGGTTCTGAGCCTAGGAGAGATGTGAGCAGTGGATTTAGGTGTTAACAGGATTTCTCTGGCTGCGGTGTAGGGAACAGACTGTCAGAGGCAAGGACATCTATTAAAGAGTCTATTATATTTGTCTAGGTGAGAGATAATGGAGGCTCCGACAAGGGTAATAGCGGTGGAAATGGTGGAAAATGCTCAGATGCTGGTGGTGTTGGAAGGCATCAGTGTTTTGCTGATGTGCTGGCTGCGGGGGTGTGGTGGGAAGGAAAAGGGAGGAGTCAGAGTGTGTCTCCAGCAGTCCGGCCTGAGCCTCCCGGAGGATGGAGCTGCCAGGTGCTGAGGTGTGGAAGACCGTGGTGGGATGCTGAGAAAGAGCTGCAGGGAGGACTGAGGGCACAATTCTGGGCTTAGGAATTTGAGCTACCTTTATTTATTTATTTATATTCTTATTTATTTTTTTTTTTTAGACAGAGTCTCACTCTGTTGCCTAGGCTGGAGTGCTGTGGTGCGATCTCGGCTCACCGCAACCTCTGCCTCTCGGGTTCAAGCGATTCTCCTGCCTCCACCTCCCGAGTAGCTGGGACTACAGGTGCATGCCACCGTGCCCGGCTAATTTTTATATTTTTAGTAGAGACAGGTTTCACCATGTTGGCCAGGCTAGTCTTGAACTCCTGACCTCATGATCTGCCCGCCTCGGCCTCCCAAAGTGCTGGAATTACAGGTGTGAGCCACCTTGCCTGGCCTATTTATTTATGCGTTCTGCTTTAATTTTTTTTTTTTTTTTTTGAGACAAAGACTCACAGGCTAGTAGAGTGCAGTGGTGTGATCTCAGCTCACTGCAACCTCCGTCTCCCGGGTTGAAGTGATTCTTGTGCCTCAGCTCCCCGAGTAGCTGGGATTACAGTCATCATGCGTCACCACGCCTGGCTAATTGTACTTTTAGTAGAGATGGGGTTTCAGCATGTTGCCCAGGCTGCTCTTGAACTCCTGACCTCAGGTGATCCGCCCACCTTGGCCTCCCAAAGTGCTGAGATTACAGTTGTGAGCCACTGCGCCTGGCCTATTCTTTTTTAATTAAAAAACTTTTATTTCACTTTGGGAGGCCGAGGTGGGCGGATCACAAGGTCAGGAGTTTGAGAGCAGCCTAACCAACATGGTGAAACCCCGTCTCTACTAAAAATACAAAAATTAGCCAGGCATGGTGGTGCGAACCTGTAATCCCAGCTACTCAGGAGGCTGAGGCAGGAGAATCCCTTGAACAGTGGTGCCGAGATTGCACCACTGCTCCAGCCTGGACAACAGAGTTAGACGATGTCTTGAAAAAAAAATTTTTATTTCAATAGTTTTTGGGGTACATGTGCTTTTTGGTTACATGGATGAATTCTACAGTGGTGAATTCTGAGATTTTGGTGTGCCTATCACTAGAGCAGTGTACACTATTCCCAGTGTGTAGTCCCAAAGTCCTCCCTCCCTGAGTCCCCAAACGCCATTATATCACTCTGTATGTCTTTGCATCCTCATATCTTGGCCCCACTTATAAGCAGGAATATAGACTATTTGGTTTTCCATTCCTGAGTTACTTGACTGAGAATAATGGCTTTCCAGCTCCTGTAAGAGACATGATTTTGTTCCTTTTTATGGCTGATTAGTATTCCACGGTATATATAGACCATATTTCCTATATCCGTTGAGCTGCCTTTTAGAAAACCATGTAGAAAGATGGACTTGAATATGTGGATCTGGAGGTGAAGGGAGAGGTCTGGGCTGAGAAACTGCTCTGGAGGATCTATTAATAGATGGTACTACTGTGGGGGGCGGTGGCTTACACCTGTAATCCCAGCTACTCAGGAGGCTGAGGCAGGAGAATCACTTGAACCTGGGAGGTAGAGGTTGCAGTGAGCCGAGATGGCGCCACTGCACTCCAGCCTGGCAACAGAACGAGACTTCGTCTCAAAAAACAAAACAAAACAAAACAAAACAAAAACAAACTGAAAAAGGCACATGGGGCAGAATCCAGGACAGGACAGACCAGGCCTGAGCGTCCAGCGGTCCTCTCCCGGTGGAGTCAAGGATGGCACTTAATTCTCCCAGCAAGATGTGTGACAACGCACAAGAAGTAATGCCAACCAGGGACCCTCCGGTAAGTCTGTGTGTCCAGGTTTTTACTGGGGGCCAGTCACGTATGCATGGTGGCTGACCTTAGACTCCAGCCCCTCCAGAGGTCAAACTGATACCAAGTGTCTCAGGCCTGACCACAGATCACAGCGTCAGCATAGAGCATCCAATGTGGCCCCAGGCCCCAGGTAAACAAAGACAGTTTTATCAGTCAGGACATTCCAAGGACTTAGGGGTTCCATCCCAGAGGCTGGACAGGGACTGGTCCTTGCTTTGGAATGTGTGGGGTTTCGCCAACCCAGGCCTGCTGCGTTCACCCCTGGCTGCTTCCCGCCGCTGCCTTCAGCAGCTCCCCTCTTTGCTTTGAATAATAACAACCACAGCAACGGCAGCCATCACAGCCTCTCAGTTGCTGAGCACTTGCTGTGCCTGGCTTATTGACTCCTTCCTGCAGTGTGGAGAGGCAGCCGCCATCAGCCCATTCACACAGGGAGAACCCGAAGGTCTCAGAGGGCCTGTGTTGTGCCCAGGATCACACAGTTCGTAATTGGTGGAGTTGAGATGGAGCCCTATCTGCCTGCCTCCAAGCTCTTCCAGATACCTGTGGGCTCTGGAGCCACGGTTGATTTTTCTTTTTCTATTTTTTTAAAAGTTAAGGCTGGGCCCGGTGGCTCATGCCTGTAATCCGAGCACTTTGGGAGGCTGAGGCAGGCAGATCACTTGAGCCCAGGAGTTTGAGATCAGCCTGGTGAACATGGTGAAATGCCTTCTCTACTAAATATACAAAAATTAACTGGTTGTGGTGGTGGGTGCCTGTAGTCCCAGCTACTCAGAAAGCAGAGACTGGAGAATGACTTGAACCACGATAATCACTTGAACCTGGGAGGTGGCGGTTGCAGTGAGCCAGGATCACGCCACTGCACTCCATCCTGGGCGACAGAGCGAGACTCTTAAAAAAAAAAGTTAAAAACAGCCCATTTTATTATAGAAGTGTTTAAATAACATAGAAATGTAGAAAGAATTTAAGTGAATAAGCATATATCTTCCAAGCAGAAGATTTTAAACAGAGGCAGGGGCAGGGTAGAAGTGGCAGAGGCGGGTGAGGCCCCCTGGGTGACCATTTGGTGATGACCTAAGTCCTTTGAAAATTTGGCCTGGGCAGGGAAAGAAGCAGCATAGCCCCAGTTCAAACAACGGCTTCGTTGTTCACTCATGGTGTGGGTGACCTTGGCGGTGACCTCTCTGTCATCCTTTTTCCCTGATTCATTCATTCATTGAGTTTGCTCAGTAAATATTTATTGAGCACCTACTGTGTCTCCGGAATGGCTGGAGGCTCTGGGGCATGTGGAGAGCAGGACAGTTGTGCCTCAGAGGCTGTGTTCAGCAATGATGTAAAGAGGAAATCTGGCCGGGCAGTGACTCACCCCAGTTCTCCCAGCATTTTCAGAGGCCGAGGTGGCCGGATCACTTAAGGTCAGGAGTTCGAGACCAGCCTGGCCAATATGGTAAAACGCCATCTCTACGAGAAATACAAAAATTAGCCGGATGTGGTGGTGGGTGCCTATAGTCCCAGCCACTCTGGAGGCTGAGGCAGGAAAGTTGCTTGAACCTGGGAGGCAGAGGCTGCAGTGAGCCGAGATCATACCTCTACACCCTAG